ATATGGGGTGGAGTCGGATTAGAGGTTTGGTATGTCATTTGATGCGATCCAAAAGGATCTTCATCATGCTGTTATATTTATTGAAGGGTAAAAATGGAGTGGCGTGGCGAGGAAAATGCTGAAGGGAGTGATAGTGGACTAACTGTTTTCTTTTCGTTTAGTTTTCTTTTAGTTTATTGGTATTTGTAAAAAAAAAAAAAAAAAATTAAAATTAATGGGAATAATCCCAACTTTCAACAATCTTCTCAAAAAAATCCTAACTATTGTTGTACTTTAATTATTATTTTTTTTTCTTTTTCTTTATAATGATAATTATTACCTTTATATTATTACTTAAATTTTTGTTATTATTTTTAAACTATGCTATTGCCCAAAACATTACTTAATTTATTTGCATCACTTTTTGTTTTTTTTTTGGAAAAATTGCCAAAAATAATACAACCTTTGAGCCATTATTTTTTAATAATACAACATTTGGATTATACATGAATATTACAACCTTTGGGGCTCTTAATTTTAAACAAGACAAAAAAAACTCATAGCCGGCTAAATATGTTGTCCATAACATGTGTCGTTATATAATTGATCTAAGTTAATAATTTTTTATGAGAATACCTAAGTTAATCACCTTGATAAACGTCAAAATTTTATCAAGGGTTACTTTCGATATTTCCCATGTTTATTCAGGGTTGTATAAGTAATTTGAAGTCCAATATGAAGGATGGGTGTGTAACTGGTGTTACCCAGTACAGCTAATGTCGTCAATGGGATATAACTAAACTGAAGATGATTCAACTCATCAAACATCATCCTTGACATTTTGTTAACTTGTGTATTGTCTATGTTCATCATGTTTTTCTTCTCCTCCATCATCATCTTGCTCTTCCTCCTCCCCAATCCCCACCCAAACACCATTTTGACACCACCATTTTTTACATTGACACCGATACCTTTATCTTTTTCATCTCACCAACATATCCACCACCTTTTCGGCACCGCCAAATTAAACAAAACCCTACAAAAAGGGTGAAGTTTAGGGTATGGTCAGCCCCAAAGGGTAGGGGTGACCATGTCCTCCATTAAAGTTGTCATTGAGTTCCATTGAAGGTTAATTATTTCACTATTGAAGCTTAATTACTTTAACCATTGAAGTTTGATTACCTATGATAACAACTACAACAAACAAATTACATACATATATTAAAGTGTCTCATTGGTCAAAACTACTCAACAAAGTAAACAAGGCCGTAATCCCTGTCGACGTCCTACAATTTGAGCACTCAACTGTTTCTCTCTCCCCAACTTTTATCTTTCACTAAAAGTAATTTAGTTAAATACCTCTTTTAAAAAAGTTAAATCCTTGACTGGAGTGACCGCGTTACCAGACTTCATAAATTTAATAAGTTAACGCTGTTAATTTGCTTTTCAGAAGCTAGCAGGGTTCTGCAGAAGTACCCCACAAAATATTATTTGTTTATTGGTATTTTTAAAACACAATGCATTTTTTTACCTAACTGCCACTTCATAAACATCCCAAGTTTATTAAGGTGATAGATTTGATAAACTTGGATTTCTCATTTTTTTTAATTTTTTTTTTTTTTAAAAAAAAAACCCCCAACCGCCAATCCCCCGTTCAACACCCTAACCATGCCCAACCTCCTCTAGGCGACCCTCTCCTCATCCAACACCACAGCCAACCCCATCCCCGGTGACCCCCCTCCCTATCAAACACCACACACCCAATCCCTTCCCCCAGCAAATGCCACAACGACATCATGAAGTCACAAATGCCAGGAAGGCGTCTGGTCTAGGGGTAAGGGTGGGTACGACGGCGAATTTTAAGGCTGGAAAGGGGGAGGGGGTGTTTTCTATGGCGGGGGAAGGGGAGGCGGGCAATTATCGAGGGCCGAGGGAGGAGTGGGGTGATATTTCGAGGAGTTGGGGGAAGGGGAGGGGCGGCTATCGTGGTTTTTGTAGAAGTGGGATGGGGCGGATTAGAGATGGGTTGGGGGAAGGGGAGGGGACGATTTGCAGGGTGAGGGAAGGGGTAGGTGGGGTGGGTTTGCGGAGTAGGGATGGGTTTATGTGGTGGGGGCTGGGGTAAGGAGGTTGTTAGAGGTGGCTATATATGGTGGTGTGGAGATGGAGCAATGGTGGTCTTAGATGGGAGGATAGAGAAAATTTGTTTATCATAGAGCGACACGTGTCATGGGTAACTTGTTAAACATGTAATTTTTACACAAATCATAGAGCGATTTAATTATAAACAGATTACCCTGTTAATCATGTAATTAATATTACACCTGTAACTTGTTAAACATGTAATTTTTTGGAGGTTTAATAGACACATGTCAACACGTGAATGGTCAAATACTTTAAAAAATTAAAAAAAAAATAATAATTTTTTTCAAAAATAAAAAAACCAGCTACCCAGCTCCAGCATCCGCCCCACCAAATTAGTTCACACCTATTCCCCAGGACCAAAATGCCCCCATCCCCACTCCATCACTTTCCCCCCACCCCGAAAATTGTCGATCTCCCTTCCCTAGCCCCAAAACCCTATCCTCTCCCATTCCCCAGCCCTAAAACCTCGAGGGAGGTGGTGTTAGTGTCAGGGCATGGGAAGGGGAGGGGTAGGGTTTTGGGGCTAGAGAAAGGTGTTTCGTGGGTTTTTCGGGGTTGTGCGAGGGGCAAGGGGATGTTTCAAGGGTGGTCGGGTTTTCTGGGTTGGGGTGGGGGTGATTTTGAGGGTCGTGGTTGTCGGTAAGGGCGGCTTCGAAGGTGCTCTAGGGAGGGGGCGATTTAGGGGGTGGAGTGGGGTGGGGAGGAAGCCCGGTTTTCGAGGGGTGGGCTAGGAAGTGGGGGCGGTTTCCAAGAGGTGGGGCTTGGGAAAGGGTTTTGGAGGTGGTGGAACAAGGTAAAGGGGGCTAGTGGAAGTTTTTGTTTTTAAAAATATTTTTTGAATTTTTTGACCAATCATGTATTGCCATGTGTCTTATGTTACTTGTTATATTAGTTGATAACCAGTTGAGACCAATGAAATCTAATACCCCTAAAGTTGGAATTATTCAATAATATAATTCAAAGTTTGGATTATTAAAAGCGAATGAGCGAAAGTTGAAATTATTAAAACCAATTTTTTCAAATACTTATCATTTGTATGGTTTATTCAAAACTAATCCCCCAGCCCTTCAAACAAGAACAATTATGCCTTTTCCTAAAGCTTTACAAAGGTGCATGGTGTTTCAAAACTTTTCAAAGTTTTACAAAGATATACGGTGCAGTTTTTAAACGTCGAGAGTACACAGAATAATTTTTTTTATTAAAAAACAAAAAGTACATGAACTTGATATCTGTCCATTGAGGCACTGACCAGCAGGGGCGGACTTGGCCTTGTGCCTGGTGGGTCAAATGACTCACCAGGGCCTAAAAAAATTTCTAAGTTTTCTTAAAAAAAAAGAATAAAAAATTATTAGTTTGTTAATTTTAGTCTTGTCAATTTTAAGCTTGTTAATTATTAGTTAGTATTGTAATCTTGTCAATTTTCTATTTGGATGATCTTTGTAAATAATTTTTCTTGGGAATTTTGGTAAAAAAAAAAAAAAATTGGGTGTTGTTAAACGTCGTTCGCAATTTACTAGGTGACGTTCGCATTTTATACTTGAATTTCCTAAATTTCCCTCCGTATATAAACACTCAATAAACTAAGTTATGACACTTACGAGACATTTCCCGTCCTACAAAATCACTCTTTCACGCTCTCTCCCTCTAAAACCTTCTAAAAACTCTGAAATTTTGAAGAAAAAAAAAATCAGAAATTTTATTTTTTTTTATAAAACCAAAATCGTTGAAGGCTACTCAAACACAAGCAAATCTAGCAATCAAACGTTGAATCCGACAATGGCAGACCGACGAAGAATTGGGCTAACGTTTGGTGGTTGTGGTGGCGGCATTAGCGGCGGTGCCAACCGGTGAGTTTTTTTGTTTTTTTTTTTTTAAGTTTTTGAATTTTGAAAAAAAAAAAACTGGAAACCGTGACATTCGCCCAGAAATTCCGGAAGTGGGGGAGAACTTCCGGAAATTTTAGGCGAAAGTAGTGGTTTCCGCCTAAAATTTCCGGAAGTTCTTAGTCACTTCCGGAATTTCTGGGTGGAAGTGGTTGTTTCCAGTTTTTTTTTTTCTTTTTTCCCTCGGTTTCGTTGACTTCTTGCATTATTTTTTTTTTGTTAATTTTTATTTTAAAAATATTTCTTTCATTGATTTGTGGCATTAAAATAATTTTTTTCTTGATTTAATCTTGCAATAATTATTGTTATGTATTTTTTCTTGATTTAGTTTTGCAATATTTCTATCCATGAGTTTTACTTTTGCAAGAATTCTTGATTTACATTTTAATAAGCTTGTTATTGTTATGTATTGTTATTGTTATGTAAATTTTGTTTGGTTTGTATTGGTATTTGTTATGTATTATGGTTGGTGACTTAAATTGTTGTTATTGTTATTGTTACATTTTAATTGTGGCATTGTTTTTGTTGTATTTTATGATTTTTCTTTGTAATTCATGATTTTGCATCTTCATATTTGCAATAATAAGTCTGTTATTGTTATGTATTGTGTTTATTGTTATGTAAAATTTATTTGGTTTGTATTGGTATTGTTATTGTTGTTATGTATTATGGTTGGTGACTGAAATTATTGTTATTGTTTTTGTTATTGTTTTTTTTTTTTGGTTTGTGGTATTGTCGTTGTTGCGTTAGAATTTTAGCAATTTTGTGGTTAACTATAGTTTTGATTTGGTCTATTATTGTGTTGAAATTATTTGTAGTGTGTTATTGGTGTGTTGTTATTGTTAGTAGTATATTAGTATTGTAAGAATAATATTATTGTTATTGTTAGTAATGTTGTTATTATTGTTTATTTGATTTGATTTATTATAGTTTTGATTTGATATTTTTGAATTTGAATTATTATTGAAATATGATTCTGTACTTATTTCTTTAATGAAGATTGAGGGTTCTGGTCCTCGTCATGCAAGATCAAGACGTTTGAATGCGTCTGTTAGGAGGGAGTTAGGTGGTGCAGGAAATTCACAGGCACCGTTTCACCATGAGCAGCAGTATGGGACTGCTGGTACTTGGTCGGGGGAGCATCAGTCACAAGGGAGCACCCCCATGTATTCGTCACCTACTGGAGTGCCTTCATCTGACGATGAGGATGAAGAGCGAGGAAGTCAAGCTGCTGGAGATGCACAGTATGACCCTCAGGATTATCGTACTGTGTATAGGGGTGACCATGGGAGATATATTAGTAGTAGTGAACCAGCTCAAGCTTCTACCATCTCGTCAGAGTCATGGGTGGTGCAGGAGCCGATGTCAGGTGGGCCTGAGGATGGTACTATTATTCCTAGTTTTGGGGGTCACGTGGCTGCCTACATATGGGGTGGGCAGGAGCGAAATGTTCTGCGGTGTTTGAGCAGGACACAGTTGTGTACTGAATTGGGTAACTGGCGCGCTCGTCTTCCGCAGGAGCACCTGGAACCGATTGATGGCAGTGGTCTATCTCACTTACCCGGGATCATGTTTAGGCGATTTGACTGGCCCTTGATTTCTGCTTTTGTTGAGAGATGGCAGCCAGACACGAACACGTTTCACATGCCATTTGGGGATATCATGATCATGCTGCATGATGTGTATCATATTCTAGGGCTTCGTGTTGATGGTTCCATGGTTTCCACTACTCCTAGCACGGACGTTGTACGGGACGCGTGCTCGATTACCTTGGATATGACTGAGGAAGAGCTGAATGAGAAGTGCGGTACTAAAACCGTATGGTAGGGTAGTGGGGTGCTGACTGAGACGATAATGGAGTCGACCTTGGAGGCGTAGAGGCCCTTCAGTTTCCATTACAGGGCGTACCTGTGGTTAGTACTCGGCGGTTGTTTGTTTTTGGACAAGAGTGGAAACCGTACTCATCCTTCCTTCCTCAACAAGCTTTTTGTTGAGGATGTTCAGATTAGTGAGTACTCTTGGGGTTCTGCTATGCTAGTGAAAGGAATGGTGTCCTTCCAACAAGTGTATCATTCCGATAGAGGGTTCAGAAGTATTACAGAGTTAATTCTTCAGTAAGGTCAGGTGATCGGAATGCCTAGGTGGAGGCCGCTTCCGATCAGTAATATCAAGGTACAATTGAAATTACAGCTTAATCTTAACTGAACCCTTCGGGTCGAACCCAATCGAATCTCCGATCCGAGACGTCGAATTAATCCGAAAGGATTTAATGAGTCGACAGAGTTTTACGAATACAGACGTCGGAAATCGAGCCTAGGGCGTCGAGATCGAGCGTCGCAAAATCACAAGCAACAAGTATGAGCGTAGCCGTAGCTAGGCTAGGCTAGCTCATCGCAAGCCTAGGTGCACCATGTGTGTGCTAGGCGCACCATGGTGTGCTAGGCACCGTCGCAACCTAGGCGTGCCCTAGCACCCCATCGCAAGCTAGCATGGGTGCCTGGGTGCCTGGGTGCGCAGGGCAGCTATCGCAAGCCACACAAGCACCAGGCAGCCCATCGCAGCTAGCAGCGTGCTAGCGAGGGTGCCTGGGTGCTCATGGGTGCTGTCGCTAGCCCATCGCACCATGCACAGCCATCGCAGTGCTAGGCACTGGCGCATGGGCTTGTGCATGCATGCCTCGCACCATCGCAGCCCTATCACACCAAGCACAGCACCCTCATGTGCGTGTGTGTGCATAGGCGCTCTCGCAACTCCCTAGCATCATGCACAGCACCATCGCAGTGCTAGGCACATGCGTGTGTGCGTGTGCACCATCGCCCAACAGCCTCGCAATGAGGCACCTAGCTGTGTGCTTTCGTGCGTGCCTTCGCATGGCAGCACCAAGCACAACATGCTAGCAAGGAGCACCAAGCCCAGCATGCGTGGCTCGCTAGCAGCACGCATGCTAGGCCTTGCGTGCATAGTGCGCTAGCTGGATGTGCGCATGTTGGCCTAGCTGGATGGCACTGCGAGAGGCCCTGTGTGAGGGGCCATGTGCGAGAGTGTGTGCGAGGGAGTGCTAGGCAGCAGCACTAGGCTAGCAGCACCAGCGCCCAGCAGCTCGCAGCGTGCTAGGGCTGATGCGTGCTAGGCCAGTGCGTGCCAGCACTGCTTGCTAGCACAACAAGCTAGCTGGCTGCCCAGCCTTGGTGCTAGGCGCCAGCTGGCAGCCTTGGCAGCCAAGGCAGGCTGCCAGCCCAGCTGTCCATAGGGTGACGGTTTTGGTGAGGGGTGGGGACCAAGCTTAGGCAAGGCCTTCAGGAACAAGGCAATGGTCCCCCCCACCCATTTATGGTCCTCACCTAACCTTCTCTCTCTATTTGACACTTGTTGCATTGTTATTAGTTTTGTTTATTAATTTATTTTGGAAATAAATTAATTAGAAAAAATACATTCTCCCACATTGGTTGGGGAATGAGAATCAAGGGATCATTTCCCTATAAATACCAAGCTTGGTATTGGGATTTGATACAACCTTGAGTGGAATTAAAAAGGCAACTCTAAGAAAAGAGTAAACCTTTGATTTGTAAAACTCATAGTTATTTTGTCCGGGTCTTGACTAACCTTCAAGACTTAGGACGCTCGGGTCGGGTCGAGGGTACGATCCGTCGAAGATCTCGTCTTTTCGAGATTTTGAAGTCAGAGCTCTTTAGGAGCGAAGCACGCGTCAAAGGTATAATTCTTGTCCTTAATCTTGTTTGATTAAGTTTATTATGCTTGTTTAATTGCTTTAATTAACGGGCGGGTCTTGGTGGTTTTCCTTCCGCGTAGTGTCGGGTCACTACGAAACCCTACAGCTAGCATACATGTACCGGCAGTTGGGTACAGCATCACGAAAAGATGTTGATTCTATCGCTGGCTGTCTTACGCTTTTGCAGGCGTGGATCTACGAGTACTTTCCATGTTTTCGGCCTCAACAGGGGACCTTGACAAGAGAGCTTACTGTTACTCGTGCGTCCGCCTGGGATGTCGGATCGGGGTGCCCCAACAAGAGCATAGAGCGCCTTCTCGATTTTTGGGCTAGGTTGGATCATTTGACTAACAATGAAGTTAACTGGCTACCGTACGAAGTTGATCCAGCATGACGCGTGCCTTCTACTCTTTTCATTGGCTGCATCCAGTATTGTAGCATCATTGAGCCATATATGCCTGATCGAGTGGTTCGACAACTTGGATACGTCCAGGGCATTCCACAAGCCATCATCAGGCCTGAGAAGGCAAAGAGACCGACGAACTTGAAGATGTATCGAGTTGACTTTCCGCCAGAGATGACATATGTCATGTGGACTCGGTTTGTCCCTGGTGTGTCTTTCAGTGTCGTGATAGGTGCCCGCAGCAGACTTGGTGGTGGTGCTCCTACGGTTGGTCCTGGTTACATGTAGTGGCTGTACCAATATTCTCATCCACGTGTTTCTCCAGTTGCGTCATCACATGAGAGTCGCACACTGCCAGAGAGAACTAACACGGATTAATTACATAAGTAGTTGTGTTTTTTGGTACTATAATTATGATTAGAAAAACTTGTGATTTATTTAATATGTTGTTTTTTTAATTGAAGTGGGTGGGTCGGTCCATGGAGGTCATCAACAGGACACTAGAGGAGTATCCGAGCCTATTGCGTGATACAAGAGCAATGGCTGAGGCGCTACGAGCTAATTAGAGGGCGATGATGGGGTTGTGAACTTGCTGTTTTTTATTTTGATTTGACTTGTACGCATTTCGTTTATGTACTATTTATTCGTCATGTACTTTAAGGATTGAACAACTGTTTTTGTGGTTTTGTTGAAACTTTGTTCTATTAAGTTGAATTCGTTGCAAATTACATAACTACAACTGTTTAACATAAATAAAGTACAAAAATATGTTCATTATCTAATTAAGGCATCCCACATGTTCCTTCTAGCTGCGTAACGCTGATCCCAACTGTCAACACTTGGGTCGTGGTTCTCGGTCCACCAACCTGCAATCGGGGGAAGTGGCGAATCTGGTGCAAGTTCAATACAAATAAAATGTGAGCCCCCAATTGTAGCGATGACAAACTCTCGCTCCTGTGCTGTGACCCCCCTTCTTGCCCGTAACGGCAATATCATGAGGCATGGGTAGTAGCAGGTTGGTGTTTGGCCTACACCAAGAATAATAACCGCTGCGTTGAACCAAGTCGCAATAGGAAATAAATCTTGAATTGCAGCCATCCAATGATGGGAATCAACTGCCCCACCGTCCCATTGAATACGCTCCACATTGATCTCAAGTCTTCCAAGCCCATAAATCCTCTCATATAGGGCTCGATAACCGAGGACCTCATTCGCTATTGTTTCTCAAGCGTCATACCATCTGCCTTGATCACCGAAGAAGAACTCGGCCACACAACGAAACCCACATTTCCCATCGCCAATGACATCCTTCCATCCTGTGATGTAAGGCAATATCGGCCCTGGAAGCGAGTGTCGAAAACGACTTTGGCTAATGTCATTTACATCTCCTGCACAAATGTAGGGTTCAGTTAATAGTTTAGTAAACACTGACATATGTGAAAAACACAACACTTAATCGTACCTGTTTATCGTGCGCCACGTTCAGTGTATTGGCGGTTTACATGTTCAAAATAAGAACGATCACGTCTTGTATCATTGTTTCTTGGTCGACCACGAACCCGGTGGTTTACAACAGGCTCTCTGAGGTCAGAATGATCCGGATGCAGCTCCTCTTCAATGATGCGAGACACGTTCCGAAGAACAGCAGGATCACTACCGATTACCTCTTCCATCAGAGAACAAAAATGTGAGACGTCCTCGGTCGAGTCATTTCCAGGCACCGTCCCATCATCACCAGAACCAATAACCAAGGTCCTCCAGAACGGGTGAATTTGCCTTATGTACAATCCTGTCCCAGCAACTAGCGAATCATGCATCTGGCAAGCACAGGGAAAAACCTGAAAGGAATGGTGTCCTTCCAACAAATGTATTCTTCCGATAAAGGGTTCAGAATTATTACAGAGCTAATTCTTCAGTAAGGTCAAGTGATCAGAATGCCTAGGTGGAGGCCGCTTCCGATCAGTAATATCAATGTGCAATTGATGTTACAGCTTAATCTTAACTGAACCCTTCGGGTCGAACCCAATCGAATCATCGATCCGAGACGACGAATTAATCCGAAAGGATTTAATGAGTCAACAGAGTTTTACGAATACAGACGTCGGAAATCGAGCCTAGGGCGTCGAGACCGAGCGTCGCAAAATCACAAAGCGACAAGTACGAACATAGCCCTAGCACCACACTGGCCTAGCCATGTGGATTCTAGGCTAGTTCAAGCTAGCATGCACCTAGCATGGCTAGGCGCAAGCCTAAGCACACTAGGTGTACTAGGCGCACCATCGCAACCTAGGCGTGCCATGGCAGCCCATCGCAGCTAGCAGCATGCTAGCATGGGTGCCTGGGTGCATGTGGCACGCTATCGCAGCACGCAGCCCAGGCTATGCACCATCGCAAGGCATGGCACCACGCACAGCACCATCGCAATACCAGGGGCTTGCGTGTGTGCCTCGAAGCCTCGCACAGCAGCAGCAATGTTGCGTGTGGGCTGGTGCGTGTGTGCATGCAATAGGGATGCTGCGAGGATGGTGCATGTGGATGTGGGAGTGCATGCGAGGAAGAGCTAACAAGCAGCGTCAAGCCCAGCATGCGTGGCTCGCTAGCAGCACGCATGCTAGGCATTGCGAGCATGGGGCTGGATGCATGGGTGCGCGTAGTGTGGGAGTGTGTGAGTGTGCGAGGCAGTGCGTAGGAGTGCCAGCGCCTAGCACCAACACGCACCAGCGTATAGCACCAGCACGCACCAGCGCCTAGCAATGGCACGCACCAGCGCCAAGCATCAACCAGCACTGCCTAGCTGGGAAGCGAGGTTGGGCTGGTGCTGGCTGGCTGGGCTAGCTAGCACTGCTAGCTGGCAGCAGCCCAGCTCCCCTTTGTGAGTGGCGGTTTGAGGGAGTGGAGACCAATGGGCTTGGAGCATGCCTTGGGGAGAAAGGCAATGGTCCCCACCAAGGTTCATGGTCCTCACCTAACCCTCTCTCTCCCTTTGACACTTGTTGCATTGTGATTGTATTTATTTATTAATTTATTTTAGAAATAAATTAATTAGCAAAATTACTCATTCTCCCACATTGGATGGGGAATTAAGTTCAAGGGTTCATTTCCCTATAAATACCAAGCTTGGGTATTGGGAAATGAACAACCTTGAGTGGAATTAAAAAGGCAACTCTAAGAAAGAGTAAACCTTTGATTCGTAAAACTCATAGTTATTTTGTCCGCGTCTTGACTAACCTTCAAAACTTAGGACGCTCGGGTAGGGTCCAGGGTACGATCCGTCGGAGATCTCGTCTTTTCGGGATTTTGAAGTAAGAGCTCTTTGGGAGCGAAGCACGCGTCAAAGGTATAATTCTTGTTTTTAATCTTGTTTGATTAAGTTTATTATGCTTGTTAATTGCTTTAATTAAGGGGCGGGTCTTGGTGGGTTTCCTTCCGCGTAGTGTCAGGTCACTACGAAACCCTACAGCGGTATCGGAGCCACGCTCCTTTTAATTTTTGCATTTTTTTTAATTAAGGTGTTTTAAAAGAATTTAATTTTCTTGTTCATGTTCTTCTAATTAGATTAGATGTTCGTTTAAATTAATTTTAAAACTCGATTTTATTTTCGATTTGGCTGTCGAACCCAGATTTTGGCTCAAAAATAGTGATTTTTGGGTGGAATCGATATTTTGATTCAACCCTTTCAGGGCTGTCCAGAAGCCAAATTCGAACCAGAAACCCAATTTTTCTAGGGTTTTTCGTTTTTCAACGAAAATTTTAATTCTTTTTAAGCCTTGATTAATGCAAGCATTACAAGGTTAGATTAAATGCACATTTGCATCACTAATCTACTGGTTTTAAAATATCCTTAAGCATAATAATGGAGTTTTTATTAGTGCTTAAGTTGATATACCAATTTTTCACATAAACTTGTTTTTCACAAATTTTGCAAATAAATTGCAATAAAGAGTGAAAACTTGTTGTGATTTTGTATTTTAAGTTCCCAAATAATGTTAAAGTTCTAATCTTTAAAGGTTTAAATGATTGGAACCCTAACCCTAAATTCTATGTTGAACAAAGTTTGGATTTTTTTCATGTTTGGTTGATTAAAATCCATCAAGTTCAATTACTTGTGGGTAAAATTTGATTAATCTTCATATTGGAAGATGTAATCTTGGTATTTTACACAAATATGCAAGTTGGAAAATTTTTATCATGGGATGGTTAATTTATTTTTCCTACTCCCATTTGTCAAATCCATTATTAATTTGCATATTGGCAAGATTAATTTTGGACATAGCTCATTTTATTTTAAGCATAAAGTTAGACCTGATTTTGTTCAAAATTGAAATTTTGGATAATTTAAGCTTGTGCACCAATAAAATAAATTTATTTAAGTTAGACTTAATTTTATTTTATTTTTCCTCAAATTGATTCTAAAATGTAATTTAGAATTAATTCATGTCACACGTAAATCAGGATTAAAATCCAGAGTCATGGCACGCAAATCAAGGCAAAAACACCTAAGCGCCACCAAGGCTAGTCGGGCTGCCTAGCAGCCTACATGTGGCTGCCTATGGTGCGCACAAGGGTGAGCCATGATGCTGTTGTGCGCTGTTGTGTGGCGGGGAGGCATGGGCTGATGTGCGTGGGCAGTGGCTGGGGCTGGCTTGCGAGGGATGCTGCTGGGCAGCAGGGCAGCAAGCACCAGCCCAGCGCACCACGAGCATCAAGAGGCGCCTGCTAAGCAGGCCAGATGCTCGCAGGCACCAGCATGCTAGCAAGCATGCGCAGCATGCTAGTAGGCAGCTGGCGCTAGCAGCAATGCTTGTTAGGCACAGCAAGCCTCACCCACGCACCATGGCCATGCCATGGGCTGCCTAGCAGCCATGGTGCGCACCCACCAAGACTTTTGTTGGGTGGTTTTGCTTAATGTTTGGGCTATGATTTTTGCAAAAATCTTGTCGCTTTAATAATTTTAAATAATTATTTTAACGAGGTTAAAAACCTCGATTTTCGATTTTGCAAAATTTTGACAAATTATGGGTTATGCTGACTTAATTAATCGGATTAATTAAGTACGGATGCGGAATTTAGTGGGAGCTTAATTAAGTGCGTAAGCATTTTGCGTTTAGAAATAATGGATTAAACCACTTTGACTAGTTTTAATTAGGCGCGTTAATTGGATTAACCACCTAAGTTAGTTACTAGTTTTGCGTGTTTAATTATGTATTTCGTAAAATTGCATGGGCCATTCACAAATAGTGAATGGGTGAATGGATGATTGTTTTCAAAACAGGTTCTTTGAAAATGGC